GTGGGCTGCCGGGGCCGCCTGGGGGCCTCTGGGTGGGACACCCCCCTCCCTCCCAGCCGCCCGTGCTGTGCGGGTGACGGCGGTTTCTCCTCTCCCTCTGAAGCCCTCCTCGCTGACCTCCTGTCTGTGCTTCGAATTATGTCCCTTGCTTTAATAAACCCGGAGAACTTCGCACCACTCTGCTGAGCCGGTTTCTTTTTCCCTACGCCTTCACCCGGTGCCTCCCTGCGGCCCTTGCCGTGGTGTCCCCTCAGCCGGCCCTCGGCTCGGACCCTTCCTGTGGTGTCCCCTCGGCTGGGGGCCTGCGTTCGCACCAGCAGCGCTCGGCTTTCCCAGGGTAACGGGGTGCGTTCGGGACCATCACGGTTCAGATGAAGTGTGGCCGTGGCGGGAGGAATTGCACTTGAGGAGGCTCTCGGTAGTGACGGTCATGATGATAGTCTCGTTTTGTAAGTTTCATCCAGTTCACTTAGAAATGAAGTTGCCCTGGTTTGGCTGGGATAGAATGACAGGCCAGCCATGCTAGGCAGGCTCAAGCCAGCCAGGCCATTTGACGGAAGCGAGCTACAGGTGTAGCCCACACCATAACGTCATGGTCATCATAAAGGGGGAAGGTTGGCTGAGGAAGGGGAGATCCTATGGGAGGCCTGCTGGGGTTCCTCCTCTGGCTTCTCCCTGCTCCTGAGGACTGCTCTCCTGTTGATTGTGACAGCTGCATATCCATTTGGCTGAGTATAACTTTGTTGGTATTAGTGCAGTTCTATTAAATCTGTTTCACTTCTGCCCACGGGTCTCCTCTCCTTTTCCCAATTCACCTCCCTGGCTGGTGGAGGGTCACTGGGTGACAGAGCAACTGTTACAGTTTAGCCCCGAGTGCAGGCTAAAGGTAGAGCAAAGTGAAACTTATCACTGTCGGACTCCTTTGCTCTGACTAACTTCTGAAGAGCAGAAGTAAAATGAATCAAAAAAAAAGACCCCTCCACGTGAGTGGATAGATGTAACAGTTAAAAGTCTTCCAAATGTTGAAACTCTGGAAATGTGGAAGGCAGCTGGAAAAGGCTTAAACACCGCTTTCCTATATATCTGTAGCAATGAGTGTCTGGCAAAGGAAAACAGAAAGCAGTTTTATTTCTGACAAGACCTATTTAAGAAGCACTTCATATTTTTAGTAGTTTTCAAGTAACTCAAGAGGGGGCCAGCTATGAAACTGTATTACTGAATTTACTGCAGCCCGAGTAGAAGGGAAACATACCAGTAATACGCTTTCAGGCAGAGCACAGAATGAAGATAAAGCATTTGAAAGGTATGGTATTCGGGGGGACTGAGCCCAAGCAAAGAGATCAGTTTTGAAGCTAAGGTGAAATCTCTGACAGAGCACTTGGCCGAGAAAAACCTCCATCATGCCAAAGCTGATGGAGCATAGATAGCTCATGCGTAGCCTTAGCTCTATTAAATCTGTTTCACTTCTGCTCGTGAAGGCACGTGAGGCAGGGAAGCGCATTGAGCGTCATAGAAGGGCCCGGAGAAAGCAGCATGTGGAGCCGTGTACCTCTCGGCACAGAGGACAAGCTAAGATAATGATTTGGATTTGGAAAGAGGTTGAGGAACTGTGTATTGCTACATCACGTGTAACATTTCTCTCTTGGATCTAAAGACCTTCAAAATATTAACTGTAAGACTCATTTTTAAAGGGTTGAGGTATCTGGGGAAAAAAACACACAGAGTTTATTGGTGCATGAAAAAGACACTGGATTATGAATTAACTTCGAGAGCCAGATGGAAACCAGACAATGGTCCAGTCTGCAAGCAAGAGTGTTGGGAAGCAGCGAGGAGAAACTTTTAGTGTTTTTGACAGATAATGTCAGTCAGAACTGATTCAAAGCAATAGGACATAAAATTACATGTAAACAAACAGAGGCTAGAACAAAACTAGTTATTACATGAAGTCATCAAAAAGAAAGCACTAAAATAAAATTACCCTGATCTGACCTGTTTCTGTGGGAAAGCCCAGGAAATGATTCGGACACTGAAGTGGTGACCTGTAGGATAGAAAGACAATCAGGACAGCAGGGTATTGTTTTGTAGATTTTAAAATCAAAGTCATTTAATGATCTATATTCAAAATGCATGTTACGGGACCTGGTACAGAAATTACTGGAACAAAAGACACAATTTATGACTAAAATGAAGTGTGTTTTTGAAGAGTACGAAGCCTTCATCCTGTGGCTAAAATATAACATCACTTCTTTGGTTTCTGCCGGGATTATTTCCGCTCATTAAAAGAAAGTTGCTCTAATTTTCTAGCCTCCAAATTATAGTATGCTATTTAACATCTGGAAGGTTTTGAGACACCCTCAAAATTTCTCCAGTATCCTGACAAAATTGGAGGCACTGTAGTGGAGCGGGCATGTACTTCCTGATTTGGTGGTTCGTGCTTGACAAGTTTGACTCTGTGGTACCTGTCCATCTAGTCATGTGATGAAAATACATCGCAGCAGATTTTGTGAGTTTCTCAGTGAAGATGCCTGAGAAATTGAAAATGAGTGCGCCGTTAGCCTGTATTAAGGTTAGGATTGAGAAAATTGATATTGTAGCTTATTTGAGTGTATTGGTACAACTTAATAACATTAGAGATCAGAAACCAACCTTTAGAGATCTTGAAACCCAACATAAACAGAAATGACTCTTCCTGATATTCCTCTAAAATATTAACTGTGGTTGTGCTTCAAAATTTTTAAGTACTTCAGTGTTAGTTATTTATTTTTAGCTTGAAATGGGTGCTAAAGGCTCTCGTAGCATTCTAATATCCATAGAACTAACTTTTTTCCAAAGTGTGGCTGTGGGAATAGGTTTGTTTTGCATGCTCAGATGACATTGTGGTCATCTACTCCAAGTACCTTACTCAAAATATGTGTAAAATGATGTTTTGATTTCACATGGTAAAACCTTTGCTTCCTAAGAGTTTGAGAAATTTTACATTTGTACATTCACAATCCCCAAACTATTATGAAAAGTTCTCTAGGATCTGTTCTAATAGGGATCCCAAATTAAATTATAGGAAACATAAGATACATTTCACAAAATTGATCTGAAAATGTGAAGTTGTCAGTTCATACTCGCATAGCTCTGCGAACTGAAAAATAACATTATTGCAGATTGGCACAAAACTGTTATTCTGCGCAATACTTTATGTTGCTGTAGGGATTTTGACAAAGACATATGCTGAATTGTAGTTTTAGAAGCCAGCAAGCAAGAAATTACAATTCTGTTGTGCAGTATTATATGCAAGAAGATAATCAGGTTACAGAACATTACATTGCATGTTCTGTAAATCGCTTTCAAAGAATATTTTCAGATACTCATCAGATGATATTTCATTATAATGACCATATAAAGGGTGGAGCTCTTGTTTTCGGTTCTACCCTACAGAAAAATTTCAGATCCATTTTTAGATATAGAAAACTGGTTTATATTTTTTGTACATCAAAAAGCTGACATTTGCCATATTGCATCTTGTTTATCACGTCATTGCTGTAAATTGGACACAGGCACAGAAAAATCTGTGTTTAAGTATTTTCATATTTTACTGTAAATTACTGTTTGTACTATATTTTCAATTTTTTGGCATATGTTTCTTTCCTCTGAAGATTTATTTGCAAATGTATGGACTAACTGGTTAAAAGACAGAGAATCACAGAATCATTTAGGTTGGAAAGGACCTTTAAGATCGAGTCCAACCGTTAACCTGCCACTGCCAATTCCACCACTAACCCGCGTCCCTAAGTGCCACATCGACACGTCTTTTAGATACCTCCAGGGATGATGACTCCTTACTGGATTTCATCTTAGAAACATTGTGAGAAAACTAACATTTTTAATATTTATAAATAATAACGTAGTCCAACAGCTGCCATTCTAGAAAGCTAGAAGTCATGCTTCAGATACCTTAATATAGTTGGGTTTTTTCTTTTAGTTGGCAAGCTGGGACAACAATTTAAATTTGGTAGGAAAGTTATTACAGACGATATACTAGTGATCTTGTATGAGATCCTGCTAGTTAAATGCAGTAATACCCATGTTCTGTACCCTCCCAGAATTCAGTTAAGTGAGATTTGTAAAGAGAGTCCATATATTTTATGTCAGATGCTGAAGAAGTGAAAGCAGACAAGTGGTGGGTTTATAAGCTTTTAATGAGTTCTGACAAAGAAGCAGAGAACTCCAAATGTCCATAGTCAGTCTTTAACCTAGGAAAATTAGGAAGTTTCAAGATAACTTGTGTTTGTGTGATAGAGTGGGATCAGCAGGAAGTAAAGTGAAAGGAAGATTGAGTTGCTGAATATTGTGAATTCTAATCTGCAGAATATTTGCTTATGCTGTTGATCTTGGTGAGGTGTTTGAAACTTAGATGGGAAAAACAAGGATAAATTTCTTCAAGGATATAGGTTTAATGATTTTCCGTATCAGTGTCAGGGCAGTGTGGTGTAAGATGGGTTTGTGCATGATTGATGGTAGGGGTTTTTTTGTACTGTAGCAAGTTCGTGCGTGTAATTCACACAATGTTTATTTCCACAGTGATTGTTGGGTGAAGTTGCCAATGAGGTACACAATATGTATTCCTCACACAGGAGAGGAGGTGCTGGTTTTGCTGTGTTTTGGGAGATGGCTGGTGTCGTAGAAGCAAGCTGTTTTAGGCCAATGGCATTCTTGCACGTAGTCATTTGGTAGATGCTAAGGGTACGGCCATCAAGAAGTTGATGTTGATCCAGTTTGAAGAAAGGTGACTGTAGACCTCGCAATAGAAATTGATGAGAGCACCCTAGCTTTCACTCCAGATGCAGCTTCAGTGCAGTATTGATGTAAATAAATAAAAATATTTAACTTGTAGCTTGTGCAGGTGTGTCATCCTTGTGTGCGCATTTGTGCCCATTTTTTGAATTAACTGTCATCTGCTCTGAATGACTTTTCTGAATGGAGACGTATGTGCTGGCCAGGACCTTGCAGGAACTTCCACTGGGCTGGGATACCATTCTGGGCTGCCATGGTTGGCGAGTCTGATGCCGTGAAACCTTTTCCAGCATCCGTTTCTGTACCATGCATTGGAGGGCTTTGTTAACATTGGCATAGTGAGTTTATTTCCAGTAAAGGAGACTAATGTGCTTAAAGATCCTGCCTGTTGTAATGAAACAAACATGTCTCAAGTATCAAAATAGATCGTGTTTATAAGCAACATATAGGTACCTAATTTGTCAGTAATGTTTGCATTTGTTTCTGCCTTTGGAACTAAAGCAAGTACGTAAATGTAACATTTGTAAGACTTACAGGATATTTCAGGTTGTTTTATATTTTTTCTGTTTGTTTCTACTATACCCCTAGGAAGTTTACATTAAGAATGCTTCTAAGTGGCTTGATGTTACTGAAGGAATGCATGTATTAGTACACTCGGAGTCAACAAAGGCATCTTCTAATGGACTTGTTATGTGAAAATGACAAGGTTTTGTGTGTATTATTCCTGCCATCTTATATGGAGGAAGAATGGCAGTGTTTCATCTTCCACCCTCAAGTATCTGATACTACTGTGATGATAGAAAGCACATTTTTCCCACTAGTGATACAGTTCAGTGTGTTTAAAATCTTAAGGTCAATTAAAAACACCCAATATCTAGCCAGACATTTTGAAAAAATAGTGCTTATAAGCAAAAATACATTTAATAGATATGTAAAATACACGTATGAAAATGAAAATTACAAAAATCAGATTTTATTCAGATGTTTTTCATGCATCTTACATATGTTGAAGAAATACTTTGTAACAGGGTGACATTCCAATGTGTTTTCAGATCTCCTTTATTTTGTATAAAGTTATGAAGAAAAGAAGTGGATTTGGGGGAAAAGGTTTTTTCTTGAGTGATTTTTGGTTTGTTTTGTCATACAAGATTTGCCATTATATTTAAAAATATGTGCTAGTTGATAGAAAGATTGTATGTTTCAGTGTTATGTGCTCCAGTTTTCTAAAATTAAAAAAAAAAAAAGAAACCAACCAAAACCATACTGCTCACTGAGGAAATAAAAGGTGGAGATAAAGCACAGCATAAATGTATATTGGAATGGGCCAGACTAAATACGTACTAAATACTATAGTAATTCAAAGAGGTCATAATATGCATGAAACTAAGTAGAACACCCACTTCTCCTCAAGAAAATTAGATTTCTTCTTCACCTCGCAAACCTGCTGAATGGCTGGCTGGTCAAAATATCCCTCTGCACCTTTTAACTTAATGTCTCATGTCTATCGCTTTCTCAGTAATTGTTGCCATATAATTGCTTGTTGAATCTCTTAAACCTTGTTCTCTTTCTCGACAGATTAGTGATTTCTTCCCACTGTATCAGACCTAAAGATTTCTGTGGGTTTTTCTAATTCAGACTACATTCATTTTGTGAATGTCTGTAATTTTTCTGGAATGCTGTTCATTCCCAGAAAGTCTAAAATAACCTAAATGAGTGAATCTCCCTTAAAAATAAACTGAAATTTTCTTCTTCAGCATTAACTCAAGCTGTGACAGTTTCTTGTAAGAACTCCTAGCGTAACATTTACCAGCAGAAAGCAAAAATACTCTTTGTGTAGATATTCACCTCCTTTTATGGTTGTTGAAACTTTTTTGGGGAAAGGGCAAAAAAAAAAGCACGCGCAATTCTGTGCATTGTCCAAAAGTGTTTGATTATCTTATCCCATTGTATTAGCATCTTCTGTTATTTGCTTGATTTGAAGGTATTGTTGGAAAGGCAATTTATTTTTCTTCAGTCACTTCTAAATGCACACATCTGGTTTCTTGTCTTTCTGTAACATCTCTTACAGAGACATTGGAAAGCAAAATTACCCCTTCTCCCTAAAAGCTTTGCAGTCTTTATTCTGGTTTAGTGTTCTCTTTATTTCTGTTCCCTAGTATCAAGTTACACCCTTATCCCTCATGAAGGTTCACTAACTGAAAGTTACTGGATGTTCAGAAGTTCAAATAAGAAAGTTGTTTATAGAGAGGGGTGGCTTGCTTTTTTGATTTTGTAATAGAGAGGAGTAGAGTAAGAAGCACCATGCAGGCACTGAAATAATATTAATTCTGGTCATAGCTTAGACGGTATTTATTCTTTCTCAAGTCCAAAGTTTGCTGGACTCATGCCTTTATAGTATAATACCATGAAAATTAACATGTTAACACTGTTGGGACTGTTTTCAATAAATTGTAATATATTTGTGACCTTTAATTGTGGTCATGGTCATGGTCACGCAAGAAAATTAGGAGCATTAGAGATGAGGTCAATAAAACCAGCTGTATCTGTTGTCACGCAGGTGGGTAGGCCAGATTCAGGAAAGCTACCGTGCTAGGTATGTACTTGATCAATATCTACCCATGAGACAAAAGGCAAACCAAGAGATGTTCTAAATCTTTGTAGCAGTTTGTTTGCTGGGCTGGTTAGCTTTTATATACTTTAGAAGAGTTACAAATACTTCAAAATTATGTAGGAAATATATGTAGAATTCACAAATAATTTTAGCTAAAATAAACAATACAAAACAATCTCAGAATTAATGAACGATTCATACCAATACTTTTCACTTCAAAATACATGTACATTTTTGAAACTTAGAACTAAGTAATACCAAACTGAAGCATTTCATCTTCAGGCAAACAAAATATGCATTGGAATCTGACTTTGGCTCACACCTGATGGGTAATAAAAATTAATTTAATTCTCCCAGCAGATTCACCAGTTAAAGCAGTTTGGAAACTATGTGAATATAGTGATTGTAAATCAAAACTTTTCATATATTGAACAGCTGCATTTCTTAATAAATCTAGTAATGTATATTGTCAGATGTGGGTGACTAGGAAATGTATAATGAGCAAGTTTGTAAACAGAAGTGATAATGTTGACTGAATTCTTGTCGATTATTCTAAAGTAGTTCTGCTAAAACAATAGATTTTTTCCACATTTACACTAGTTCAGCTAAGAGCAAAATTTGACCTTAGTTCTGAAGGGAGAATGCAGCTGAAGAAAAATAATGAGTTTTCCCACTTAGGGAAGCAAAATAAATGGTTATTTCTCTCTGATACCAAGTATTTATTGCTTGTAGTTCTCGTGTCAGTACTATTACAGAGATGTTACGCACTGCTTTCAGAAATCGTTTCTTTTTCTTTTTTGTACAGATGATGACATGCTTTCCAATGTGTTTTGTGAAAACTCTGAGAAGCTCGTCAATGTACACTTGTTTGCCCTGGCTGCTAAGTATTATTCTTTGTCCAGTCTTGGAGTGTGTACCCCCTTAGAAGACGTACTTGAAGCACTGAGAGGAGACAATCAAGGAACAACAGGTATATTTACATTTGTATTTAAATTTTTACTTATTATAGGACCTGCAGAGTTTTCATTTTGGAGGGTGTTTTTTCCCT